ATCCGCTCCCGCTCACCACATCTCTCCGAACTGCTCCACCAGCCAGCCTGCTATATGCTCTGCTCGCCCGCCTCTCCGCGCCACTCCACCAGCCACCCTGCTATCCGCTCCGCTCACCACACCTCTCTGAACTGCTCCACCAGCCGCCCTGCTATACGCTCCACTCGCCCGCCTCACCTCTCCGCTATCTGCTCCTCTCTGCTAGCCGCTCACCAACTTGTCTTCAGTTCCCCCCCCCACCATTTAACACAGCTCTCAGCAATCTCGGCTTTTTAGTGACTTCAGCTCTAGGTGATTTTAGGTGGTAGTAGGGGAGCCTTGGTGCTAGTACACTACTAGCTCAAAGTAGGTCTAATGTTTAGACCCAGATATCAATGATTTCAGCTCTGCAGCATGTAACAAGACTCCTAATGGAGTCAAAATTAGCTTTGTTATTGCACACTGGATATAGGCAGAGTCAAAGTGGTGTTTAAGGCCCTCAGAAGGAGCCCACGCTAACAGGTACAAATACCTGTCCCCAACCTCTCTCAATTCACTGGGTTTTGGAACCCGTGCCCCTTGCCTAGCAAGTGCTACTTAGTTGAGTGCAAGTCCCTCCATCATAAAATACCAAGTACAGTTCTACTGTCCTTGATTCACATAACCCCAATAACGAAGACACTGGGGATCCCACAGCCAAAGTGACCATTTGGGCCAGCAATCCCATCATGCTAGGCAGGGTGGGTGTGCCCATGCAAACGAGATCAGCCCCTGAAGCCCTTTTTCACAGCTCACCACCAGATGTCAGGAGAGAGCTCATTCTGACTCTGCTTACCTCTCTCTCTCTCTCTCTCTCTCGCTCCAGATTTAGGAACTGGGTCCTCCTCCCCCTGTTCCACTTGAGAGAAGCATCTTGGGACCCTCTGTGTTATTGAACTAATCACTGTTCTAATCGCAGACAACTGGGATGTGTAGGCTTTGAACTCACTCACGGTCAGCAAAGGCAACAGAGCCTGGGGCAGTCGGCCATGTGTCGGCTGGAGAGCAGGAAGAAAGTCCTCTGCTCCACTGGGAGTTTCAGGGCTTCAAGGAGAACAACAAACGTGGCTCTTGGCTTTCTAACCTCAACCGGAGAGTCCCAGCTGAGCACCCTAAACAAACCAAAAGCACGGCTCCCTTCTCCCCTCATGTATTAACTCTCCCCCTCCAAGCGAGCCCAAGGAAGAGAAGAGCTCGTGTTATTTACAGTTAAAGGGAGTGATGAGAAAGAAGCATCCATGTGTGGCTGGGAAAGATGCAGAATTCAGCCCTCAGGTTATGCTGTTATATGAATTCCTTTAAGGACTCATGCTCTAGGGAGGTTTGAAACCTATTTGTCTGGTGTTGCCTTGTCCAAGAGACAGCCTTTGTCCTTACCCTTTGTGGTAGACTCAATAGCAATCCAATCTATGCATTAGATATTTACAAAGAGCCAATCACTGTCATATCTACACAGAACTGGGATACCACAAGGTTGAAAGAGAAAGCAAAATCCATCCTCGTTTGTATATGAAGCCCCAGGGAGGGCTGGGAAAGGAAGAGCTGGCTGGAAAGCAGAATTAAAAAAAAAATCTGGAATGGGGATGAAAAGTCAAAATTCCAAATGTTATGAAGAAAAAAATATTCCAAAAAAATTTCAGTTCACAATCAAAACATTTCATCTCAATAATGTCAAAACAATACAAAATATTATACATGTAACATTGAAATATTATAATATTATATAGAAGTCTACATAAAATGTTTTGACATTATCAAAATGAAACAAAGTCCAAATGAATCATTTCAATTTTTTTCAGTCAAAAACATAGTGGAAATTGGTACCTTCCCATGAAAGGTTGAGATTTTGACAAAATTACATTTTCCGACAGAAAACTCTTCCATCAAAAATCCTTCAACCAGCTCTAGACAGGGCTTCCCGAGGTTTCAGAAATTTTCTTTGTTCATGTCCAGCCCACCTAGGAGTTCTCAAAAGACAGAATAGTTCTTTCCACGGTACGTGAATCCCAGGCTACCATGACTCGGGGATATGCCCACACTGCAGTCTGAGGTGTGATAGCAGCATGGATAGACACAGGGCCGGATTTAGGCACAGACGACCCAGGTGACCGCCTGGCGTGCCAAGCTCGGGGGGCCTGGGCTCGGGGTGCTGTAAGATGTTCAAAAGTTTAACAAATGGAGGAGGGGTGCCAGAGACCCTCCTCGCCTCGGGCCTCATTTGGTCTAGGGCCTTTGGGGTATGTCTAGGTTTCCTTGGTTCTGCCTCAGTGCAGGAGGCTGGACTGGATGTGGGTATGTCTATCCAGGGCCTTTGGGGACCCCAGACGCATAGTCAAGTGGCTAACCTGTGCTGAAGCCCAGGGCCTGTGTTTTAACTGCTATTACTAGCCCAGGGGAAGCTAGTGCCAGTGCATCTACCTGTACTGCACCATACTTCAGCTTGCCGTGTAGATGTACCTTGGGACATATCTGCAGGGACAGACCTAAGCATAGGACCAACATGAAAGGGAGAACACTAGGAACCGTTGAACGGAGCCAACAGAAGCGCCCCGTCTCCTGGAGAAGACGGAACTAGCCAGAGCTCTGTGGGTGGATTGTAACACGGAGGAGAGAAGAGGCAGGACAGACTAGGAGGGCCAGAGAAAGGAAACTTGGAAACGAGGCAGACGGCTCAGAAATCAGCGGGCAGAAAGGAAGTGGCTGAAGTCAATGTTCGCCACTAGTTGAGGATCGGGATTATCAGGACTGATGGAAGAGTAAATGCCAGTAGGAAGCCACCATCTCAGTGAGTAGAATAGTGGCTGGTGGCCCTCCCTGAAGGAGCTTCACGAAGGAAGGAAGCTGATAACTGTGGGGTTGGCACAATGCTCTTCCATCTATTGGACACCAAAAACACTCACCGAGATAGCTACAGCCGGTGACCAGCATGTGCCAAGAGTGCCTGATAAATAGCTCAGTGCTCTGGGGCTAGGACTTGCTGCCCATTGAAGAAACGGGGGAACTTCTCTCTCTTTAAGGAGAGCGCAGGTGCTAGAGAGGGACTTCTGGATGAACTCCCTCTGGGACCCTTCTGCACACATTGAGTCTGGCTTTGTGCATGTGTTATGGAAACTCCCATGGGTCTCCTGGTTGAACAAATTCTAAAACACTTCAGCAGGCTGCAGGCAGCCATGGAAAATACAGAGGCACCGAGTGGGCCAGAGAGAGGTCTGACAGGAGGTGGGGGAGTGGTGCTTGAGTTTATTTTGTCTTTAGGCTGGTTACCAAGAGACATGGAGTCTGGCTTCCCAGTTCATGTCTTGATTTCCACTGACATTTTTTTTCTCCATGTACTGCCAATGCAACCTGACGCCTGCTGCCAAACCCTGCCATGCACTCCCCCATACAACCTGTTTCCCCGTTGCCAGAACCCCTGGCATGCAGAGCCCAGGCAAATCCCATTCCCCATGGCTGGAACCACCTCCCACCCCCAGTCACTGCAATGTACTCCTGTGTCTTTTGCCTAGTCCACAACTAGGAGGAGGGGCAGCAAGTTAAGCACCCAGAAGCCAGAGCAGACAGAAGGGGTGAGCTAAGCAGGCTGGGGGAAGGAGTGAATGAGTGCTGAGGAGGGAAAGGCGGTCTTCGGGGAGGGAAGGAGGGCTGGCCAGTTCTCTTGCCTCTGCACTCAGGGCTTAAAGAGCCATGATATCAGATTAATTCCCAGTACTGCAATCAGTGCTAGGAGAGGCCCTGGCTATTATCTAGTAGTTGTATTTCTCTCTGAGTCATCCTACGCTCAACCAGAGACAGGGCCAGAGAGACCTTGTCAGCATCCCTGGCTGTTTAAGACCTGAGCCAATTTTACAGGTTTTTATATATATATATATATTAGTACCACAGACCTTTACAGGGGCCAATGTAACGATTGCCTGGAAACAGCGCAAAAGAGCTCTCTGGGCTGCATCTGGAACACCTCTGACCGCGCTGCCAGAGGGAAGATAACAGAGCAGAGGAGCGTTTCCCTCCCGTCACAACCGACAGCAGACACAATCGAGGAGGAAAGCACCCGTCCTCTGGAAGCTGGAATCCCGTCCATGCAAACAGCTGCCTGCACACAAGAGTCCTTTTTCTTAGATGTGTTTCCCCCATTGTTGGAGTGGAAAAAATTCCCCTGCAGTCAGGTGGATGGAAGACGGAAGCTCGGCCTACCAGGCCAGCCTGGAGCAGAAAACCCTGCATAAGGAGAGCACTAATGGGCTCCAACTGAGCAAAGGCTGAATGATTGGGGAAGGGAGTGGACTGAATGGGGGGGGGGGAAGAGGGGGGGGCAAGAAGTTCTCAATCTTGAGATCTATTTGGCTGCGAAATGGTCCCGCCTAGAGAAGCGACAGGAACCCCATTGCTTGGGACAGTTGAAACAGCCTGGAGAATACCCTGTAGGGAAGAAGCCCGGCTGGAGAGGAATGTGGTCTGAAGCAGGAATTCCCCATGTATTTCACAGAGTGGATCACAGCGTCTCTGGGATCCACAGTGGGAAATGCTATAGAAGGGCAAAGTGGTTCCAGTGTATGAACAGCGAGCAGCACAATAGCAATGCAGCAGACTCCCTCCAAGTCTAATGTGTCGTGGGCGCTTTGTTTTCATAGAATCATAGAATATCAGGGTTGGAAGGGACCTCAGGAGGTTATCTAGTCCAACCCCCTGCTCAAAGCAGGACCAATCCCCAGACAGATTTTTACCCCAGATTTTCGCCTAAGATCCCTAAATGGCCCCCTCAAGGATTGAACTCACAACCCTGGGTTTAGCAAGCCAATGCTCAAACCACTGAGCTATCCCCCAATATTTTTGCCAGTATCTGTTTTAAACAAATGGTGGCAGTGGGGCAAGAACCAGTCTCAGGCGCGTCCCCGTTGGGAATGACCATTCGGCTGAAGAAATGGAAGCGGAGACTTCAAGGGCAACGACGCTCCTCCCTACCATGCCCCCATACGTGCACATACCCCTCCGGGGACGTTGGGATCTGCCTTTCCAGCCAGCAGCAGCCGGATGATCTCCTCCTTCGAGTGGGCAGCAGCCACATGTAAAGCATTTCGGCCATTCTGGAAGGGGTCGGAGAAAGAGCAGTTAGCAACACGCCTTAAAAACCTCAGCAGCAGCAGCTGACATCACCAGCGTAGTTTCAACTGCTCAGTCCTGCCGGGATGGGTTTCCTCTCTCAACCAACAGGTGCTGAAAGGCGCCAGATGGGCAGCCCACCAGCATGAAGAGCTCTGTTTATCTACTGAAAAGGCTCAGTATAGAGACATCTTTCCTACCCAGCTCTGCTAACCTGCCTCAACACTGACCTGGAGGGACCATCTGTCACGCTGTGTCCGTGCGTCAGCCTTGAATGGTCTCTTGCAACATGTGTTAACTCCTTATGCTAAAGTCTGTTCCACCTTGTGTTTAGCTGTGAAACCTTCCCTGGACCTGAAGAAGAGCTCTGTGTAGCTTGAAAGCTGGTCCCTCTCACCATCAGAAGTTGGTCCAATCACAGGTATTACTTCACTCACCTTGACTATCTCTCTAGGCATTTATGTCACAGTCATCACTGTGATATCTGAGCACCTGACATTGTACCTCGGGATGGAAGGGTAGTTTAGTCTCCACACCTATGCAGGGAGGGCAAGTATTGAAGTCTCTACCAATTAGGGGGCCAGTTGAGGATCACAAATTGTGCAGTGGGGACACCTGTCAACAGGGAATAAGCCAGAGAGCTCCAAGCTCAAACAGTTGGCAGATGGAAACTAGTTTGGGTCAGTTCTGAGCTGGGACAGATTTCAACCACCTAGAGGCTTAAGTCCTGAGCCCTACTTACTAAAAAGCAACCTGCCGTGCATGCTTACTGGCAGCCTCCCAGTTTTCATCGCCATCACCAGAACTGCATTAAAACCCTAAGTTACAGGTCCAGGAACTCTCTACAGTGGTTTCGCCAGCCAAGCATCTCAGTTGTTAACAGTGATATCAGACTCCCAGAGATATTCGTTCCATAACTGGCAATTCTACCAATAGAGTTGATGCCAATCAGTGTCCTGAATACAATGCCCTCCCCCCGCAACAAAACAACAAAAACTCAATCCCAACCCACAGTCTCTCCACATGGATGATTTAGAAATCACCAATCATAGCCATTGCTACTAAAAATAATTAGCTGGTGGCCAACCAGCTAACAGAGGGGAAAATCTCTTTGATGGAAAACTATATCAAGAACTGCGCTGCTAGACAAAGATCATCTGGGCAAATCTCCACACTGCAATAGATAAATAATAAAAATACGTCGCCCTCTTATACCACCCTTCACCCAAGGATCTCCAAGGCCCCTGAATTTAGCAAATCACTTAAGCATTAAGACCCATTGAAGGCAGCGAGATTGAAGCACACGCTTGAGTGCTTTGCTGAATCGGGGCCTATGCACTCAAACATTCACTGATTTAGCCTATGGGAACAATGAATACAAAGACTGCAAGCATAAAAGATGATTTGTTCTGTTTCTAACCTACCCAAGATTCTAGGTAGTCCGATGGCCCCTCCTTGTCGCTTAGCTAAAGAAAATGGATTCAAAACCACTTTTCTAATGCATGGGCTTTATTAACCACCTCCAATAGCTAATAACTAATACAATCACAAAACACATCATCAGATAACTACCTCTAAACTTACTTAACCTTCCCTGTCTAACTCACAATGGGACAACCAAAGAGAAAAGAAATTCACCTGACAACTGTCACATGAATATCAAATAAATCAATGCTCCTCACCCCAAATCTACCAAATATCCTGAGACGATGGCCATTTTTGTTTATTGCTGTTGCCAACCCCCAAATGAAAATACCTTATTAAGGTCGCTAAATTACTTACAAAATAAAGGGTCTGGGCCAAGAGTCTACATAAGCGCAAGGGTTTCAGATCTCATCGTCCAATCGGAGCATTTCCTTGATCCTCAGACCATGGGAGCCATCCAATCCCCGTATCTGCCAAATGTAGGGCTTGTCTTCACTACGGGCTAAATCGGCGCCTCTGAGGTTCATGCAGCGGCATCGATTCAGTGGGTCTGGTGAAGACTCAATAAGTCGATGGGCGAGCGCTCTCCTGTCGACTTAATTAATCCACCTCAATGAGAGGCGGAAGCTATGTCAATGGGAGAGCGTCTCCCAATGACGTAGACCGGTGTAGGTACCGCTTGATGTCGACGTAAGCGACATCGACATAAATTACGTAACTTACGCACCTTAACTAGCGTAACTGACATTGACTTACAGGATAAGTGTAGACAAGGCCTCGGTATTAAGCGTTTTGTCCCTCCACTGGCCATCTGGCTGCATGGAGCTTGACTCTTCTCTCCTTAATATAGTAATGTTTTGTAATTGCAGCTGCAATACGAGAGCCAGGGAAGTCAGGCTGTCTCTCAGCTTGAGGGGCCAGGGTTGTTCAAAACAGCCTGGCAGGGAACCATCAGGTCTCCTCAATGGAAAGAACAATTTTGCTGCATTAGGTTTGCAGGGCAAGCTCAGGCCCTTGGGATGAATCTGCACTAACAACAACAACATCTAACTCTTATACAGGGCGTTTCATCCCTAGATCTCAAAGCGCTGTACTAAAGAAGTCAGTATCATGACCCCCATTTACAGATGGGGAAACTGAGGCACTGAGAGGTTAAAGTAGCATGCCCAACGTCACCCAGCAGACCAGTGGCAGAACTGGGATTAGAACCTAGGTCTGGATCCCAGTTCAGTGCTCTGAGGAGCATGCCAGGCATGAGAAGGCGTTTTCTATATACTCAAAGGCAGAGTGTGACAGAAAAATGGCCTATTAACCCTCATCCTCGGGACTCCCAAAATCATCTCTCTCTCCCTCCCTCTGAACAGGACACAGCCTTAACTGTCTCCATAGCCTCCCACTGCTTTCCCCCAGTGCAAGCATTCACTGGAAAAAAAACCATCTTCCCTGAGGGAGCTTCACTTTTTCTTCTAGCCTCCTCCTTCTCTGCCACCAGCTCCTTTGCCTGCTCCCACCACCAGCCAACTCTGGGCTAGCCTCAGGAGCTGTGCCCTGCCTGCACGTTGCTGCTCCCAGACCCAGGGGAAGGTGAGAACCGGGCACCGAGACAGCCAGGTCAGGAAATTCAATCTAGACAAATGTAAAGTACTATATGAGGCAGGAAACATCAACTACAGAACTGCAGCACGGGGACTATCTACCTGGCAGTAGTACTGGTGAAAAAGTTCTGGGGGTCATAGTGGATCGCAAATTGAAACAGGAGCCCAGAATGCCATGCAACTGCAAAAAAGGTGACTATCACCTGGGGACGTATTAGCAGGAATGCCGTGCGTAAGACATGGGCAGTACCTGCCCCGCTCCACTCTGCGCTGACGAGGCCTCAGCTGGAGCACTGTGTCCAATTCTGGGTGTCGCATTCTAAGAAAGATGTGGAGCGTCCAGAGGAGAGCAGCACAAACGATAAAAAGTTTATAAAACCTGACCCCTGAGAAAAGAAGATTGAGGGGGGCCCTGATAACAATCTTCAAATACGTTAAGGGCTGTTATAAAGAGGATGGTGATCAATTGCTCTCCATTCAAGGTAGGACAAGAAATAATGGGATTAGGCTGCAGCAAGGGAGATTTAGGTTAAATATTAGGAAAAACTTTCTAACTATAAAAAGGAGTTCAGCTCTGGAAGAGGCTTCAACGGGAGGTTGTGGAATCCCCGTCATTGGAGGTTTTTATAAATAAATAAATAAATAAATGGAGATATCCTATCTCCTAGAACTGGAAGGGACCTTGAAAGGTCATCGAGTCCAGCCCCCTGCCTTCACTAGCAGGACCAAGTACTGATTTTGCCCCAGATCCCTAAGTGGCCCCCTCAAGGATTGAACTCACAACCCTGGGTTTAGCAGGCCAATGCTCAAACCACTGAGCTATCCCTCCCCCCTAACATGTTTTAAGAACATGTTGGACAGACACCAGTGGGGGATGATCTAGGTTACCTTGGTCCTGCCTCAGTGCAGGAGGCTGGACTGGATGACTTCTTGAGGTCCCTTCCAGCCCGGCGTTTCTCTGATTCTATGTCAGGAATGGGGCAATGGGAAGTTGAGTGGTTCTGGGTGGGAAAGAGGAAAGGTGGTGACAGAGAGAAGGAGCAAACGGAGAGCAGGGAAAGCAAGGAGAAACTGAGGGAGACACTCCAGGAATAACCTCATGTAATGCCCAGTGGCTGAGGACGGCTAGGGGACCACCTGGAGCAGTAGTCAAGTGTGCGTGGGTGCTGGGGTAGTTGGGCTGTTGATTGGGATCAGAAGCAGACGGGGGCAATGGTCAGAGTTCTCGCAGCGGTCAGTAGCTGGAAGATCCAGTCTGAGGGGCAGGGGCAGTGGGTTGGGAAGGGGAAGTCAGGCAAGTCAGCAGGGGCAACAAAGTAGGGTCAGGGGAGGCAGTCTAGTCAGCAGGCAACGGTCTGTTGCTCAGACAGCTTCCTCTTCCTGTTGGAGCCTTTATATGGTCCAGGTACCCAATGAGAGTGCTGCCTGTCCATCCAATCATGGCTGTGGTCGGTAGGCCTTTAGCACTAAGGTTGTTGGGGAGGAGTAGCGGGTTCAGTGCACTACCGTAGTACAACTACTACGGTTGTTGCCTAAGGACCTGGCAGGCCTGGGCTCAATAATGGGGCCCTTAGTAGGGGGAGCCCCGATCCTCAGGCTGGCCCAGGGGAACCTTGGCTCTGAAGCGAGCCTCTGCTTCCTACTCCACAGGGCTGGCTGCATTTTGTTGTTTACTGGCGAGTGGCCAAGGACTAGCACAACTCTGGGCAGTAAAAGCATGTTGGCTGCCATTATTTATTATGTATATTATGATAGCACCTAAGAACCAGCGCCCCCTGGCTCTAGGGACTGCACAATCACAGAACAGATAGATAGACATTCCCCACCCAAGAGAGCTTACAGTCTAAATGTACAACTAGAGAGAACAGGTGGAGACAGGCAGACAGATGAGGGAAACAATGAGACCACAGTGGCTGGCATGACGGGCAGCGATCTCAGCACAGCAGTGGCCTAACTGTCAAGTGCTTTGTAGGCTTCACAGGCAAAGGGGTGATATGGTCAAAGCAACAAACTGGGAAAAGGATCTTTGTGACAGGCATTTGAGTGTCCTCACGGTCAAGGCCCTCCCTGGCCTGTCCCCACCCTACCCATCATCTCTCATGAGATTTGTGACGGCCAGAGGGGAGGATGTCGCCGTAGACGAGTCGTAAGATGAGGAGGGCCTAGACAATGGCTCTAGCTGTGTGGACAGAGAGGAAAGGCTGGACCCTAGACATGTGATGCAGAAAGAAGCATGAGGAATTAGACATGGCCTGGATGTGAGGCCCTAGAAAGAGAAGAGCTGAAGAGGACGTCCAGGTTACAGGCCTGAATGACAAGGACGGGGGTGTTTCTCGCAGCGACCGAGAAAGGCTTCCGACCTGGACTGTATCCAACACGACAGTTCCTGTAGTCCGTTACCATCAGCCCTCCCTTAGACCTCCCATCCTACAAGAAATGGCTCTCGACACACCCCTCCCCTACCAAGGCTGTGCAAACCTCAAGAGAAATCTCCTTTCAAGGCAGCACTTAAGGCTGGACTGTGCGATTTACTGTTGCTGCAAAAGCAGCCGCTCGCAGGCCTGTTGTGGCACTTGAAGGTCCACGTGGCAGAAGAAATGCCTCCAATGCATCTTCTTGACGGACGACAGCTCCGTGCGGCTGCAGTAATAATCTTGTCCTTAGGCATGAAGGACTCTCGCCGGAGCAGCTCTGAATGATCGCTCGGGCTGATACTGACAAACGTCAGCGGAGAGGGGATTTGTCTAGCTGCCCTCTGCTCAACAGGCTGTGACGTTATTACACGGAGATCAAGCTTGGTGAACGCTTGCTGTTATTCTTCAACCTGGTGCTAGATCTGCCTGAGTGAGGCACAGCATGTCGTTTCCCTGACATACATCTCGTCTCTCTGTCCCTGCAATAGCTCAGGGCAGGGAGCCGCCTATTTATTATGCACTCATATTTCTCGGACATTTTTATTTCTGAGCTTGTTTATTGGCGGCTGCGTAGTCCAGTGGATAGAGCACAGGTCTGGGAGTCAGGAGTTCTGATTCTCTAGTCCCCGCTCTGCTACTGACCTGCTAGGCGGTCCTGTGCAAGTCACTTCGCTTTCCCCTTCCCACCCTTTGTCTGTCTTGTCAACACACAAACTCGCAGCAATTTTGATTTAAGAACACTGTACGTCAGTTTTGCTTATGGTTCCTAATGGATTTTAATTGAACTCAACTGACCCTAGTTGGACTGCTATAGGAGTGTCCAGGAAGCCTTTTGCACCTCACTTTAAAATCACACTTAAATTAATCTGGTGTAACTCTGTATGTGGACAACCTCTTCAGTTATAAGCTTCTTGGGGCAGGAACTGGCTCTGATTACATACGCTTGTACAGCCCCAAGCACACTGAGGTCCTAGTTGAGGTTGTGGTCACTAGGTAGCACAATGTTATAAAAGATTAATAATTTCTGTTTTCCACAAGTATTCAAACGTTAATCTGTGTTGCCAAGTTGCAACTGGTCAGATAAAGTCACATGATATTGTTTCTGCTCCATGACTGGAAGAATGCAAGAGTGCTTTTAGTGAATACCGGGGTGTATGAACTTAAATGACTCTTTCTGGGAACACTCATAGGTAAAATCCACAGACCTGCACAACAGGGAGTTTTGAGTGAATTTGCATCTGCCAAAGTCCCATTCAAATCTCCCCAGGTCTCCCAGCAAAGAGAGGTGAAGTGAGGACCCAAGATTCCTAATGTAAGAGACTAACATTTGGAAAACCCACTTTCAGAAAAGTTTGTCTCCAGGAAAGAGCAAAATCAAAGCCATTGGGGCTGGAATATTCTTTGAGGTCTCTCCTCCCAGCCTCACTTCCATGGGCTACTGGTGCAAACCAAACCCTTCACTCTCAGATCCTGTCCCAGGACAAAGTCAAAGGGAGCAGGGGGGTATAATCGTACAAGAGAGGTACCCCACCAAAGCCGCTCAGATCTACCCCAAACCATGGTCCTCATCAGTTGAACCTGAGTTGAAGGAGATTGTCTTAAACTGTGACAAAGGAAGGGTTAAAAAAGAGAGAGATTTTAAACTTCTCATTGAAACCCACATGGGAAAATCCTTCCTCACTAGTAAATGCTTAAAAACCCTGCCTTAACATGGATCCCCAAAGGAATCTTCACACTAAAGAGGAGAGGGGCTTGGCAGGTGAAGGAATTGCACTGTTCTTATTGGGGCTTCTCTGGAGGGTGGCTCTGGGGTGACCTCGTGGTGAGAGACCAGGCCTAGAAGCCAGGCCTGGCTTCTAATCCTCATTCTGAAACCGAGGGCCAGATTCTGATCTCAATTAGACTGGTGGTGTCAATCCAGTTTTCCTTCAGAGATTCTTCCAACGCCTAATAGACCTTAACTCTAGGAAACGTTTCCTGATGTTCCTCACATGCTTTCCTAAGCTCAGGTTCAGTCCCTTGCTCTTTGCCATAAACAATTCCTCTCCCTCCTCCATGTCTGTTTCATTCACATGACGTCAGATGAAAGGCTGGGCTTGTTGTTAAGGCACTGGGGAGGTTCTCAGAAAACAGGGGTTCAAATCCCAACTCTGCCACAAGCTCGCAGTGTGCCCTTGGGCAACTCACTTTATCTCTCTAGGCCTCAGTTCCCACTTCTAAAATGGGGATTGCAATTCTTCCTTTGTCATGCCTATGTAGCTACTCAGCTCACTAAGCAGGGACTGTCTCTCACTAGGGGTTTGTACAGCGCCCAGGACAATGGAGCCCTGACCTCACTTTGGTGCTATCGTAATACAAACAATGAATGAGAATACTATCGCCAGACAGTTATCAGATCCCCTCCAAATGGTCATGTAGCCGATAACTCCATACTATACAGAGTCCTTTAACATGAGTCTCTCTCTCCTTGCTCCACTTATTCCCATCAGGGCTCTAGACAGCTGGATAGTAAGTGGTCTCTTACCTTAGTTTGGTCTGAAAGATTCACTCCCAGCTCCAGCAACCTCTCGACAATGGACAGCCTGTTCTCTCTCACCGCGATCATGAAGGGGGTCAGGCCCGACTCCTGGAGGAGACAAGACAGGCATTGCTGACTGAGTACCTAGATGTCTGAGGTTGGCCCTCACAGGTGCCCGTGCCATCACGGGCTATTGCTGCTCATTTCTTCCTTAGAAAGGTCACCTTTCAGGCAACCCCCACTTCAGCACCTGATCCCAGCTGCCATGCCGGTGCATGGGGAGGGAGGCTAATATCTCAGGTAGCAAGGGTCCCAGCCCACACTGTGCTGTCTAAACACGGTCAATTACCCTCAAAACCCACCTTCCGAGATCTTTCCAAGAGGTGAAAATGGAACGACTCAAGCACAATTCTTTTCGGCCCAGTTTGAGATTAGAGCCGAGTCGATCAGGACTGTAAGAACTGCTGGGTGTGTCCTTTCCCGGGCATGGCGTTTCATTAGATTGCAGCTGTTTTATGGCTGGAACAGCTCAGCCATGCTGTCCCCTCCTGAGGGAGCACTCTGCCTCAGGCCTGCCTCTTGTGTCTCTGGGGGCTTTTCTTTTCTTAAGCCAGGTCTGTAAACCCTGTGTGACCCAAAGCACCCCTGTATTCACGCCCCACACACTACTGTAATCATTAGGGTGACCAGATGTCCCGTTTTTAAAGGGACAGTCCCGTTTTTGGGGACTTTTTCTTATATAAGCGCCTATTACCCCACACCCCCCCGTCCCGTTTTTTCACAGTTGCTATCTGGTCACCCTAGTAATCATCTTTGTCCGAAATATGCCTTGTGAGGGGTCAAGTGAAAACTAACAACGCACTACTGAATAATATCATGGTGAAAAGCAGGTAGCAACATTATACATAAAGTTATGAATTCCCCTGTATGATGGTATTAGCACATGTTCAAAACCAGACAGCCCTGGCTAGGCAAAAGTTTTTAAAGCAGGTCTAGCATAAACAAAGGGATGCGTGTTTACCCCAATTTACATATAAGTAGCAAACAGGATCATCAAGGCAGCAGGGGGAGGAGATGGTAGGAAACAGAATAATTTGCATTTCAGCAAACATAAACGGGGGAAGAAAGGGCACAGAGCCTCCTTCACCACCAGACTCCATGTTGCTTTCCTCACTGCTTGAATAAACTTTACTTCGAGGCGTAACCTTCAGAAGACTCCAAGGTTCACCAGACTATCAAAGAAAGGGCCAGAGAATCCCATGTTTTCTCTTTCACCTAAGAAGACAAAGGCACCTGCGCTGTTATGCCTCTGGAAGAGATCCTGAGCAAGGCGAGGGTCCATCACCATCTTGCAGGCCTCGAAGGCCATCTTGCCAAACCCTGGAACCAAAACTTGCTAGATTAAGTTTGAGACTTTTAGAGGCGTGTTTTCCCTTTCAGTTGCTGGTAACCATTTCTAACTTTCTCTCTCATACTTGAATTCACTTAAAACCCAATCTTCTTTTGTTCATAAACTTGTTTTGCTGTTAATCTAAACCAACAGCATTGTGTTTGTACTCCAGTGGGTGTCAACTCCAGTTAATGTGGCCAACTGGGGTGTTGTGTCTGGTTAGAGGAGCAAATGAATCATATTATTTCTCTGAACTGTCCTGAAGAAGGGGGGGCATTACAGAGCACATCGTTTGGGGACAATTCGGGGCTGGGAGTGTGTTGGGGATCACCCTGCAAGTAGTAACCAAAGCTGCTGGAAGCTGCAGACAGGCTGCTGGGATCAGAACCGCTGTACCAGGGCGGTCTAGCACACAGGTCCCTCAGGGTGCGACCTGCATGCTTGTCGGCTGGCTGTGAGTGGCCCAGGTTGGGAGTTCCAAGAGCAAAGCAGTGTGAGGCACCCAAGGTTACAGGGCAGGCAGTGACACTCAGAAAACCAGGTTGATAAAGATTAAATGCAAGCCCAAAGCTCTTGACCCTGAATGGCTAAATGCCCTCTACAGGTAGTGGCACCAGTTAGCAACATGGGTTCAAGACTCCAGCACTTTTCCATGCTCTGTGGCTCAGACAGTGCAGCTCCGCACATGTGGAGCACTCCAGCAGACAGCCCCCTTTGGATGGGATGGTCATAGAATAGAATATCAGGGTTGGAAGGGACCTCAGGAGGTCATCTAGTCCAACCCCCTGCTCAAAGCAGGACCAATCCCCAACTAAATCATCCCAGCCAGGGCTTTGTCAAGCCTGACCTTAAAAACCTCTAAGGAAGGAGATTCCACCACCTCCCTAGGTAACCCATTCCAGTGCTTCACCACCCTCCTAGTGAAAAAGTTTTTCCTAATATCCAACCTAAACCTCCTCTACTGCAACTTGAGACCATTGCTTCTTGTTCTGTCATCTGCCACCACTGAGAACAGCCGAGCTCCATCCTCTTTGGAACCCCCTTTCAAGTAGTTGAAAGCAGCTATTAAATCCCCCCTCATTCTTCTCTTCTGCAGACTAAACAATCCCAGTTCCCTCACCCTCTCCTCATAAGTCTTGTGCTCCAGCCCCCTAATCATTTTTGTTGCCCTCCGTTGGACTCTTTCTAATTTTTCCACATCCTTCTTGTAGTGTGGGGCCCAAAACTGGACACAGTACTCCAGATGAGGCCTCACCCACGTCAAATAGAGGGGAATTATCACGTCCCTCAATCTGCTGGCAATGCCCCTACTTATACAGCCCAAAATGCCGTTAGCCTTCTTGGCAACATGGGCACACTGTCGACTCATATCCAGCTTCTCGTCCACTGTAACCTCTAGGTCCTTTTCTGTAGAACTGCTGCCTAGCCAGTCGGTCCCTAGTCTGTAGCAGTGCATGGGATTCTTCCGTCCTAAGTGTAGGACTCTGCACTTGTCCTTGTTGAACCTCATCAGATTAAATCCACAAATGTTATCCAATTAAATGATTCCTACTCTGTCCGTACTGAAGGCTGGTTTTGTGGCTAAATCTCTGGGTTAGGGCTCTGTAAATCTGAGTTCAATCCCTGGCTCTCAATCAGACATTGTGTGTGACTTCGGGCAAGTCACCTCACCGCTCTTCACCTGGGTTCTCCATTTCTAACTGGGGGCGGTAACGCTTCCTTTATCTGCCGTGTCTATTTAGATGGGAAACTCTTCCAGGCAGGGACCACCTCACTATGTGTTTGCACAGCGCCTCGCACAATGGGGCCGGGATCTCCATGGTGGTCCTGCTATTGTAATGCACACAATAGTAGTGAAACCACTGGCTGAAACATCCCTGTTCTTAACGCGGAGAAGCCATTCAGTGCGAACCACAACTGGGAAGGAGAATGGGAGCAGGGTCGTCAGTTCATGCTGGTAATACAGGATTTACCCGCCTGTTCCAACTAGTGGAATACTCTGCCTCCAGCAGAGGTGAATACAAGATGACGCAGACAAAGGCAAACCACTGCTCCCAGGCATCTGGCCATGTATGCAGTGGAAAGAACCATGATTAGCCCCGGTGACTCCAGCCTCACTGCCTTCCCCCGCTCCCCCCTCTCCCCCGCAATCATCATAGCACCATTTATTCTTTTGTATCTGTCATAACACAAGCCGACGCTAAAACAGCTTCCTGGTTGTTGGCTACTTACTTGGTCAGTCTGGGAGACGGCCAGGTCCCCCTTGTCCATGCCTCTCAGGGTCTGCTCCAGGGTGATCCACTCCCCTTTGGTGGCCAGCTGCAGCACTCTGCTGCCAGATGCGAACAATCCTGGGGGGCTCAGAGACGCACTGTTCTCGGACATTTTCCTTCTCTTCCCCCAAATCAGATCCTTTTCAAGGTCAGCCCTTGCACGGCTCCTTGTAGGGAAATCATATTTCTTCTCTCCTCGGCTGTGCTGGGAGAAGCCGTCTCAGGCAGTGACCAATGTCAATTTCTCTTTCTTTTGCTCTCTCTTGGTAGGAGGTAAGGGCAGCAGATTGCCCCCCCTCCTCCGCCCTATTCTCTATTGATTCAGACTCTTCCAATCAGAGGGGCCTTTCAGCTCAGGCTCCGGTTAAACTTTTCTAACTCCTCCTTTGTGTCCCGGTTACCTTGACATCAGCCTCCTGCAGGGGGGCGAGGTGGGGGTTGGGTTTTCTGCCTTTATCGATTTTCCTACAGGAGCTTAATTCAGTCAAGTTCACGGGCCTGGGGCATGAAAAATGCAACTCATTCTAATGAGGATTGCGTAATATCGCCATCCTGCAGTGAGCCGGATTTGAAGAATTACTGCTGCTGCTTGGCCTTTCTTGCTCAAGACAGGCCCAACAAGAGGTCACCCTCCAAGAGCTGAACTCGCCCACATGCACTTGGGTTCAGAGTCCAGGGTTTTAAGCCATTTCCCGCCAACCATTTTCTTGGGCATTTTTTGTTGAAAAAGCCGCCATGATCCCAAGTGATCTAACAGCAGCAGATTCTCCCAGGCCTTCTAATTCCAATGGGGGGAGGCAGGAATTCAGGCCATAGGACTAGAAAGGACATCCTGTGTCAGGCAACCCCGCCCACATAAACTTGTTAATGAACGTATCCAGCTCCATTGTAAAACTAGTTAGAAAAGCGTATCCGTGTTCACAGCCGTTGCGGGCAGTAAATGCTGAGTGCAGTTTGCAGTCGATCAATATCTTTTTCACACCTCCCTTCTTTGCTTATGGCAAGTAGATCCGCTTCGCCTCCCTCCAGAGGGACAGAGAGAGGGCCCTGCTGAGCGAGACAGGAGCTGCTGTCTGACCTGCCATGATGAGCGGCATGTTTCTGGGCAGTTAGCCCAGGACCCGCTGCATGTATCTATTAGTAGTTATCTGTCCGTGGCAGCAGCCACATTTACCAGGTGCTTTCCAGACATACAAGGGATGGTCCCTGCCTGGAGGAGCTCATGATATAAGGATGTGGAGATCTGGGAAGGGGAAGAATAAAAAGAATTTTGGATACGAGTCAAGAGGCAGCACTAGATTTCCGGCCGCGTTACAGATAAACCAGGCATGGCATAGTGGGATTGGGGGGGGAGGAGGGGAAGGGTGGATGGGTTAAACCCATGAGAACATTTGGCTAGGCAGGCAGATGGCACCCGGGCTGTGGAATGGAGGATGCCAATGCTGCCACTAGTAACAGAGAGAGCTGGTCAGAAATTTCCGGATGCAACATCTTTCCATTCAGAGGGCGTTCAGGGAGCACGGCTGATTTTGGAAACACCAAACTATAGCTGGGGGACAGTTTTGGTGTTTCTGAAATGAAATGGGGGCAGGATTTCACTTCCAGGAAAGATGCTGGAGCATCGGCTTTGCATCCTGCCTGGGGAGGAAAATATTTCCAAAACGTCAAAACAGTTTGCAGAAGTGAAACTTAGTTCCCCGGCCAGCTCTAGTCACAGACAGCGGCAGGAGCAAGGAGAGGGCTTCGGATACACCGCGAGTTCAGGTTGAAGGCAAGTGATCAAGCAGGAATGGTCAGAGAGGCAGGCCCAAAAGGCGGGACTGATGGGAGGGGGGCTGAGGAGTGGAGCGCTAGCTTTACGTACATTCACCCCAATAATGGCATTTGCACCGAATGTAGAGGTGTCACACCACCTCCCTCCAGCCACTCGCTGGCACAGGAGGCCAGGTTAAATTTCCTGTAAACCGAGAGCCAGTGCGGGAACTAGGTTAGTGGGGTCTTATGTCTGGAGCACATACTACTACATCATCAATCTAGACCCTGATCCTACTTCTCTCCTAGCGGTCAGCCAAATTGCTGATTTTCTATAGATCACACCTATCCAATGGGTTTTCATTCTCTTCTTTCCTGACCAGGCCCCAGGAGAGCTTAGTCACACACTGATTTCCCGACTCGGTTCTCCTCCGCTGAAAATAACGATTGACACTAGTTGCCTTAAAAAAGAAAATGTTCCAGTGACCTCTGGTGGCATCCCTGGGAATTAGTGGAAAATACTATTGATTATTGAACCGTGCTGGCCAGTCCTTGGACAGAGCAGAAGACTGGGTCAAGAGGAAGTTACGTTACATTTCTTTGTTTGAAGGGATGTTCAGAACAGGTGACTGTGATTAAAGAGGAGGATTTGAAGGCTGATCCTTTTGTTGTTTTGGGTCCATGACACAACCCGTGTCTACACTGGCACTTCCGTCGTTAAAACTTTTGTCACTCAGGGGTGTAAAGCCCTCCCCCCCTTAACGACAGACGTTTTAGCGACTGTGACTATGTAAATAGCAACTGTGTTAATGGTTTCAGTACTGGGCCTTTTAGGAGAAACCTCCAGGTATAATGGGATGGTGGGCAGAACTGGAACAGAGAACTGGAATAAGCATCTGATACACAGCTGTGTTTGCAAGAAACAGACTTTATTCCCTGGTCACATGGCAGCGATCCGTGTACTAGCACCAATGGAACCCATTACAAATACCACACCCCTTCCTTTACACTCCCAGCTCCTGCTCTGGAGTTTTCCAAAGGGACAAAAGACCAGAGGTTGCAAAACCCAACAGAACAGCAAAGTTATGATGATACTGCAGAAATTCAGCGAGACTCTTACTAGAGCTGGTCAGCAAACAGGAAACAATTTTATCAACATTGCCCTGCTTATTTTTCAATCGAAACGTCAAAATATTTCACCCAGCTCTAATCAATATTTTAATACTTCCCTGCAGTGTTGGAAACCCAACAGGTGGGGGTGGGGGGTCTGGGAGGGAGTTAGGGTGCGGGAGAGGGTTCTGACCTGGGGCAGGAGGTTCGGGGTGCGGGCTCTGGCTGGGTGGCGCTTACCTCAGGCGGCTCCCGGTCGGTGGTGTGGTGGGGTTAAGGCAGGCTCCTTGCCTGTTCTGGCTCCATGCTGGTCCCGGAAGCGGCCAGCATGTCTGGCCCCTAAGGGGAAGCGCAGCCAGGTGGCTTTGCGCGGTACCAGCAACCACAGGCACCGTCCCCGGAGCTCCCATTGGCTACAGTTTCTGGCCAATGGGACCTGCGGAGCCAGCGCCGGGGGCGGGGGCAGCACGCGGAGCTTCCCTGATTGCCCCTGCACTTAGGGGCTGGACATGCCGGCCGCTTCCAGGGAGCTGCGCAAAGCCAGGGCAGGCAGGGAGCCTGCCTTAGCCCCACTGTGCCACCGACCAGACTTTTAACGGCCTGGTCAGCAGTGCTGATGGGAGACGCCAGGGTCCCTTTTCGACCAGGCGTTCCAGTCGAAAACCGGATGCCTGGCAACCCTAATTGGAGGTTTACAGAAGGTGCTTATGGTCTTCAGAAGGAAAACTTAGAACAAATTCCATTTCCCACTCAAAAACATGAGGCAAAACAGAACCCTCTGTTCTGTCAGAAGCGCCAACTGAATTGCTTTTTCAATTGCAGTCAATAAATCAGTTCATCTGGCCTGCCAAGTTGTGACACCATCACAACTGAGAAAAACTGAGATTTTCATAAGCTGCATACACAATTTTCTTGCTTAGGAGAAGTGGAGTAGAAGCTCATTTGAGAAACTCTTTGCACATTTCTGATGCTTTGTAGTCTAAGACTGGGCAAGGATTGCTGACAGTTACAAGAGCATACGGCTAAAACAAACATTTATTGGGTTCTAGACCCAATTGCCTTTAGCTTCCTTCTACCTCCGTTGATGATTCTGTATAAATAGGAACAGCACCCGTGACAAATTCCCAGCCACTGAGGACTTCATGACCGTCCCCATGCTGCACACCATGGCCACTAGGAACTTCACAGCGCAGGGTAGAACTCAGATTGTTTTCTGCTCCCAAAGGGAGGCCCCAACACATTAGATATGAGGAGATTCATCGTTAGCTGTTAGCAGTATATGGCCTGTCAGGGTTTCCCCCCCCCCACTCTGAACTCTGGGGTACAGATGTGGGGACCCACATGAAAGACCCCCAAAGCTTATATTCTAGCAGCTTAGGTTAAAAACTTCCCCAAGGCACAAATTCCTTTCCTTGTCCTTGGACAGTATTGCTGCCACCACCAAGTGATTTAAACAAAAATTCAGGGATGGGTCACTTGGAATCCCTATTCCCCCAAAATATCCCCCCAATCCCCTTCACCCCCTTTCCTGGGGAGGCTTGAGAATAATATATAGACTAACTGCCTTAGCAACGTGAGCACAGACCAGATTCTTATCTTTAGGACACTAAAATCAATCGGATTCTTAAAAGAAGAACTTTATTATAAAGAAAAAAGTAAAAGAATCACACCTGCAAAATCAGGATGGACGGTAACTTTACAGGGTAATAAAAAGATTTAAAACACAGAGGACTCCCCTCTGGATTCAGCTTCGCAGTTACAAAAACAAGAATAAAAATACCTCTTAGCATAAGGAAATGTCACAAGCTAAAACAAAAGATAATCTAATGCATTTCCTTGCCTTACTTACAATTTTTGTAATCTTAAATGGATCATTTCAGGTAGGTTTTCAGGAGATGTGGTATCTGCCTGGTCTTTCTCTCCATCCGGAAAGGGAACGACAAAGGGAGCCACAAACAACCCCCCCCCCCCCCCGAGATTTGAAAGTATCTTCTTTCCTCATTGGTCTGTATCACTGACTTCCTGTGTGATGTTGTATCAACTTAGAATAGATGGGGTCAAAGGTTTAAGATAACCCAGTTACTGTCCATCATTAAACAGCGTTAACTGGCTTTGGCATACAGAGACCTCTGCCTGCTTAGCTCCATGGCAAACCCACCATTGAAAATCCTTTTAACCTTTTTGTAAAGATACAGAAAAGAAGGGAAAACAGTTGAAGCATTCAAAATGTTTTCATTTTAACATCCCTTGCTCCCTTTCCTTTTAGCTGAAGGAAGTTTTTAGAAAGCAACTCCTTTGTTTGCCAGTCTTTTAGATGTTAATAATTGTCCTTTTGTGTGTGGGGGGGACGGGGGACGGGAGGGAGGAGACTGTTAGTTGAGATGGGCTGGAGCTGTTGTTGTTACAGTCTCATCCTGTTCCTGTTCCTTAAAAGACAAAACAAGTTGGACACACACAAAAGAGGGAGAGAAAAGAAGAACAAAGATAAAAAAAAAATCAACCTGTGGCACTCTTTGCCAAAGGATGTTGTGAAGGCCAAGACTATAACAGGGTTCAAAAATAACTAGATAAGTTTATGGAGGATAGGTCCATCAGTGGCTATTAGCCAGGATGGGCAGGGATACAACACCATGCTCTGAGCATCCCTAGCCTCTGTTTGCCAGAAGCTGGGAATGAGCGACAGGGGATGGATCACTTGATGATTCCCTGTTCTGTTCATTCCCTCTGGGGCACATGGCATTGGCCATTGTCAGAAGACAGGATACTGGGCTAGAGGGACCCTGGGTCTGACCCAGTAGGGCCGTTCTTATGTTCTAAAATGCGGCTTCTGTCTTGGAGGTTGATATTCATTTACACCTCTGATGCTCAGAGCATCCTAACTCAGCAGAAGGAAAACAGCCAGAAAATTTGTGCTGGTTCTCATTTGGGGTGCAGTCCCCATTAGGGACTAACCTACTGAGTTCCCACTCCTGCCATGGATATCTTTGTGGTGACTGCAGATATCTAGCTAAGTGTTTTCGTATCTGTGTAATTCCCACGCAGTTCCTGAAGGTGGCATCCATGCACTATAATGCTCAGCATCACAGTGAAGGAAGGTAGGGTGGGTGAGTGAGAGAGGTCTTGAACTTTTTTTAAACTTGGTTTTACATTCACTATTTAATTAGAGGGTAGTGATACAACCGTGGGTGATGGGACTGTAACATCAGAAACGGGGCAAGGTGCTTGCAGCTCTGGAAGAGAAGATCACTTTGCTTTGTAGAGCTAGGCACGTACACAATAAACATTCCGTTCCCCACACACCTTCCCGTTCAGATTCAAGCACGTACCTGTCCGCTCCTTGCTGGATGCAGCCGAGTCCCTCTCCCTTCCCTAAGCTCCTTCTGCTTGTCTTGAAATCAGAGACCTCTCGTGCCTGGCACTTGTCTTGTCCCACAGAAAAAATGGCCAGTGGCAAACACCACAACATTGCTCACTGGTATGTGTTTGGACGAGCCCAGCGCCCATAGGTATGAAATTCACCATTAGCAAACAGTAAGCTTCACCAGCCAAGCGGCAATATAACAAAACACCCTATTGTCATTTGGACACTGCATACAAGAGGGCAGAGCTGAGGTCGCTCAGAGCAGTTAACAGGCCGCACTTTCTGGGTGTTAAATCTCACGTTCGCCATTCGGTTAACATGAGTTTAACACACTGGACAGGAATGGGGTGGGGGGATTAGGCTCAGTCACAAAGAGAAACAGACTAAGGGAACCCCCCTATTTTCCTTCAGCCTCATCTTGGTGGGGTAACCCCAACCGCGTTCTGCCCTAGTAGTGATGGTCTAGTCCCAGGAGAGGTGTCTCGGGAAGCCAGGCGGCTGATGGGTCAGAGTGGTTGCGGTTGCATCGTGGATTGAAGAATCGCAGTAATTCCCGAGCGGATAGTTGGCACGTCACTGGGGAAGGCTCATCCAATCTCTTCGGGGCAGGCAGAGATTTAGAAAACTCATTTGATGGAAATAACCACATGCAGTTTTCCTGGATGGAAGCAGTGCTGCAAGGAAAAAGTTCATTGCGCCTTTACTTGCAATGCCACGTGACTTTCACCTTACAGCTGATGCTGATGGCCTGAAGCCAAGCTGTCAGGACCT